CATGAAAACACAGGCTATCGTTTCAGCAGTAGTATCTTTAATAGGTGCTGCTTCCGGCCATCCTGTGAAACGATCCACGCAAGTGAAGAGGTAAGCACATCTATTAGATTCTGGTACAGGTCCTACAGTGTCTATGTGGAAGTTATCGAAACGCATGTCTGGGGCTGGAAAAGAGCCTAAAGAGCTTTCGCGTGTCTCATGACTTTTCACTTTTGGCAAGCTAAGCACAACTGAGCCCACCCCTTAACGTCTTTGTTCATCCCAGGCCAGCAGAAACGTTGTACAGTAGACCTATTGGTGGCGCGTACACCTGGATGGGAGACTTTGTGCAACGTATTGAAGACGTTGAGTCGACAACTATTCGGAACTATTCGGCATGGTTGACTAGCTGAGGCTTCGCACAAAATTTTATCCTTTCGGACACAGTCGTAGCTTGAGAGTTGTGGACGACAGTTCGTGATGCAGCTCAGGGTCTTCTATTTGACACCCAGCGAGTTCGACGCGATCAACGCCCTCGATATGGTTTATGGAAGGTATTCGTGATAGTGCATCTGCTACGGAGTTATTTGCCTCAGAAATGTGGTGGATGTTTGACGCTAACTGGGAAATGTAATCAGACTGTCGCGCCTTATGCGAGGAGTATTTGTCGGACTCTGAGCTGAGGGAAAACGTTAACGGTTTGTGGCTTGTAAAAGTGATGAAATCACGACCTTACACCGAACGTCGAAAGCGGCGTACTGAACAGTACATAGCTAGGAGTTCCGTACCAAAGGTACTGTATCTTGTTTCCACGTCTCGAGGGAAAGGCTAACGGCTTCCACTGGCTGTCAGTCAACTGCTGCAAAACTGCCCAAATTACTGAGCCAGATGCATCAACAGCGGTAGTCAAAGGAGCATTGGTGTCATGATGCATGAGCATGGTTGCGTTTGTAATGGCCTCCTTGACTTTAGAGAAAATAAGTCTGGCCACATTGTCCAGCGTCACGAACTTCGTAGTCCCTCGAAGTAGATAGTTAGTGGTCCCATGACAGAAGCACATTCGGGGATAAACCTCCGGTAATAGCTTACCAGGCCACTGAGAGCGCGGAGATGCTTCACAGTGGTCGGCTCTGCATAGTTTGTGATAGCCACCACCTTACCCATAATGGGTGCACACCTCTGTTGACAGTGGTATGCCCATGGAAGCTGAGTGATTCAACTCCTTCTTCACACTTCTGCAAGTTTACTCTGATACCATGCTTTTTCAGTCTCTCAAATACGAAACCAAAAGGGCTAAAAACGGCCACTTTCGCTATATATTCTGCTGCCGTAGGTATCCGATTGTACGCTCTGACCGAATCGATTTTGGAGAAAATGTTCATTTCGCATAAGGTTGCAGTCAGGTCCTAAACGTGAGGCATCGGGTAGCAGTCTGGTGTTGTTTTGGCGTTAAGCCTTCGGTAATCACCGGTTGGACGGCAGTCGTTGCTACCTTTTTGAAAACCACGTGCAATGGTGATGCCCAAAAGACTAATTGACGGTTTGGTAATGCCTAGCTCGAGCAAGTGGTCGAATTCACTCTTCGCCGTCTTAAGCCTATCAGGACTAGACGGCGCACTTTGGATGCCACAGATGGACCCGTGATAGTGACGTGGTGCATAAAAATGCTGATTATGCGTGGAAGATCATGCCCCGGTTGTCGCAACTCTGGTATTTCCCCAACATTGCCTGGTAAAACGCGTCGCCTGACTGTTTGATTCTAATGATGGCTAAACTCGGACCTACGTGGATGGTGCCGCCAAAAAAATAACTTTGAGTTGTTATCTAACAGACGTCGACAGTGAGCATCTACGAGTAAATCTTAATGGTTCGGCAAATCTGTGCCAGTGATGGGCATAGAGACGTCAACCAGGAGGAAATTCTAGTGAATAGGTCTACGCAAACCCAAGTTAAGATAGGCATACCGCCTACCAAATGTCGTGATTGCCTTGCCGTTGGCTGCTTGAGGATTGAAGAATGGGTCATGATGACGCTCCTTCGTCGGTGCGGGCAGAAGGCTAACTTCTGCGCCGGTGCTGGCGCGACAGTTTCCCGAGTTTTCGACTTTGTAAAAACTGCATGGCTTCCGGCATTTCCGGCTTCTACTCCGTAAGTATTATGAAACCAGCACCAATCAGGGTTTTCCAACCTATTAGGTTTAGTTCTGGGGCAACCACGAGAGTTGCTGCGACGAGCTAAGACGCGTTCCCGTGAAATGCTACGTGATCTAGGACTTCGAGTTCGCAGCAACTGTCCAACGGAGTTGCACAGCCTGGTCACCTCTGAATCCTGGCCCTGTGGTTTGTCGCAGACAGAATGTACGTTGAAGATGGGTCTGCTGGAGATCCCCAGTATTTTATCTGCCGAGGCTGCCAGGTCATCGAGTGAAACTGACTGAATCGTCAGCAACACGGCTTGCACCCTCTGTGGTAGTTTCGAGAGGAAGAGTTCTCGGAAAAGACCATTGTCGAATGTTCGTGAGCCGATAACTTCTCGCATGCGTACGAGGACTTCAGTAGCTGAGCGGCTGCCTAGCTGGATGTTACGAAGCAATTCGCCTAACCGCTGGCGATCTGTGAGATCTCTTTTCTTTAAGAGTGCGGCTTTGAGAAGTGCATAAGGATAACTTACTTCGAGACCAAACATGTGTGCTATAAAATGCGTATTTAATTCCCGCGTTAGTGAACATATGACGGCAAGGAATCGAGAGTGAGGATCTGAGACGCCCTGTTCTCGAAAATCGGCCTCGGCATACAGAAACCATGTTTCTGCATTGTCTGCCCAGTATGGCGCTGTTGGATAGTGTTCGTAGTCGGCCCAATACGAATAAGCTAGGGAGTGTGGTTGGACATGAGGAAGTGTCGTAAATGGATGTATAAATGTTATCGAAATGAAAACAATATATAAGAATAGAATGGAGCGGGCTCACCAATTTAAGATTTGTTATTGGTCGGGATATGTGATCACATCGGGTTCACCAATTTAGGAATTGTCCCGGTGCGAACTTGATAGGCACAAAGACCAATCGCTAATTATTCGGACTTGTTATGTAGCCACTAATACGAGACCAAGGAAGAACACAATAGCGTAGTCGGATGGAATGGTATATCTGGGCGGATGTGCCAATATACCGATGAGTTCCAACTAACTGGCTAGAGAGTCGAATACGAGCAGTGCAACGTAACACGACAGCGCGCCAAATGGCGAATATGCTTGACCGGGTGCCTTCAGCTCAGCGAGTCCAGTTAAACTGTTAAGGTCAGCATCAATGTTGAATCTCGTCAAACCCTAGGCTGTTGATTTCGGGGCAGTGTGACCCTATCAGAATGACGGTTAACCAGCTGTATCTCTGTTTGGTATGTACCTTTTGACCCTGTGAAATAGACTCAGCCTCTAATCTCCGCCAAGCGGGCTATTTGCCACCGCTTCATAATAATGAGACGACTGTGTAGGATATTAAGGTCAGTGAAACTATTGTGGACGAGGCTCACAACCCGTATCTCAGACATGGACTATGATCTTCCTGCGATGACCACGCAGACATCTGTCGAAACTATCATAAGACTGTATGAGAACTACATATATTTGTTCGGGGAAAAACTGAATCAAAGTGTAGCAACCATTCAAAGTTAAACAAAACTTGTCAAACATGGAAAAAACCACTGTCATTTTTCATGGTGCGTGCTGTAAACTCTGAGAATTACAACTGTCTCGATGATTTTCACACACGTTTTCTCCGAACATTTCCTTCCCTGTCAGGTTACATGAGTTATTCTAGGAGAAAGGATGTAGCGAATTCCAGTACTTTAGTTATTGAAGCCTAAGTACCTCACTGAATCGAATTTATGGGCAGTAAAATGGGAAGGTGATTAGATAATGGCGAAGCAAGTTTAATGTCTATGGCGGATATTTTTTGAATAGTGGCAGTGTCATTTACAGTGTAGTACACGGATATACATGCCCCACCACAATACCAATAAGGGCTAACTGAACTGACACTTATTAGTCACTACAAAGTAACAAACTTCCAGTTGTCTGGTGCAAATTGCTAATCGAATTCTGTCGATCATTTTATTTCTGCTGTGTTTACCAGGCTGACTGACCCAACGTCACGACGCACCTTGATAGATGTTAGCTGGATGGAGGCAACCGGTGGGAAGCCCTAGACACGGGCTTTGCGCTCATTGGCTAGACGTGCACACAATCTTTAAGGAGCTGATGTCCCGCCTGAGATTCAAACTAGCACCACTCAGTTCCACAACCGGGACCATCGGTAGAATGTGGTCAACAGTTAGGACTCAACAGCAACACGTTGATTATCCCCCAGTGACCAACTAATATACCTAACTCAGTCGTACAAGGGATCAGTCGAGGCGTAGATAGCTCATCGGTTACACATCAAACTTGACGGAGTTTCGAACCTCAGGAGGGACATCAAATCCTGATACCTTGCAGACACACTTTAGCAACAAGTGCCAGAATACACAAAGCTCAACGGTACAGCTGCCTGCAGATTGTCTCCAGACAACTGTAATCAACCTAATTAATATTTCTTACGCCGACGTAAAATTCTAACCAGATTGAGAGTATCCAAAGTCGTGTTTGTCTTCTTCCTCAAAGTGGACCAAAGACTTCATTTGAAACCATGAGAGGAAAGTCATACACTTACTGATAAGGAAAGTGTACGCGAAGTAGATGCGGGAAAAGAATTTCCACAGTTCTAATCCCACATATGTGCGACCGATTAAACAATGCCATCGTATTTCCTTTTCGTTATTAGATCAATAGTCAGACTATGAAAAAGTAGCTGTTTAGACAAACTTCTAGAACTGCCGAGGCATAGTTTCATAAATCACTGCATGAGTATTTCTCATTTCGTAGTTGTTTTACTGTGCTAACGTACCAGCCACTCTGACGTCTGACTCTGAAACAGTTTCAAATAGACTAATAATGTGTATATGTAGATATTAACAAAGGTCATTATGGATGATATAAAATCAGGTTCGATTCCTTGTTTTTTTTATTCGTTCTAGCTCTAGAAGTTGAGCTGGAACGACTCAGAAAATTAGTCAGAAAATACAGGACGGAAAACATTGTCTTTGCGAAACCTAGAAAAAGTCGAAGTTTAGAATATAACAAAATGAATAATTCCCATCAGAACAGTGGCCTAAATTCCAACTACAATGAGGTTAATTCTTCGGAATATGAACAGCCACTTACTCCAAATACATCTAAACCACGTTCTGTACAATTTGCTACATCAAATGATTGCTTTGAAAGTATATATAGACTTTTATGATTAAAAAGATTATTTTTAGACTTAAACCAGCGCCATGGCATCGATGATATTTCGCATCCCCATGAAAGGCCAGAAAATAGAACTCGTTTCCTCAACCCTCTAAAGAGTGTTGGTATGCCGGTTGCACCTTTTCCATCATCTAATTACCTGCCAGAAGAGTACGTTTTATTATTCTGATTTCATGTATCTACGAAATTAGAGGTAATCTTCTTACACTGCGCTTGATCTAATTGAAAGGAGGAGGTTTCAGGAATCATTTCTGCATTTACAGTAAGAATATCCATATAAAATATATTTATACCCTCAGTGAATTTTACCGCACACACTATCCACTTGACAGTGAGCTGGTCATTGAGCTAAGGTTAGTCAAACATGTGACTAGTATTCTGATTCATTTTGACATTATCTGTTCTACATAGTTTCATGTTGCTAATGACTTTTAGTTGTGGCTTGTACTTGGTGCACAAAATATCCGTTGCCTGCTCTCTTCATTGATACTTTAAAAGCACTATTTGCAGTTACTTGCAGTAGTGGAAGTTCTTGCAGCACTAGACCATTAAGTCGACCTAATGGTTCAGTGTTTCATCATGTAAAAACAGGTGACAGAGACGAAATGAAACGTGAATATCTAATAGTTGTAGCCTACCATTTGAAGAGGAGAATGTCCAGCGTAAAATAGTGGTGGGAAGAGCTAATTACTCTTTTATTTGGATTAAGAGTTCTGCGAATATTTAGTACAATTTAGAAATACGCCTTTCTGCATAAAATATTTATCTTGAAATCCTCTGACTGAGTCAAGATCTATCATGCCCCAACTTCCCTGGATCATTGTAGTTTAGCAGCACACCTCTGAAGAAAAAAAATGAATGTTAAGCGGGTTTATTGTCTGCAAGTTGCTATCATACTTGCATACTGAGTATGTAAAAGTTCTGTGGACTCGACAAACTTCGAAAAGTGGTCAGTATGCTAACTAGGGTGAAATTCAAGCTTTTATGTTAACTACAGATCAATGTTTCAGAAAAATAACAAAACAGCCTAAAACATTGGTTGTTTATTTACCATTTCTTCAACACATTTTGATACATCCACAAGAAATATCCATCTATTTTCATATAACATCCTACGGTCATTCAGCACGAATGATATAGAACAAAAGTAGGGAATATTGAAACTACATTTGTATTCAATTAATGGTTTGTAATTATGCAGTTAATTTCTACAGACAATGGTGTGTTTCTGTTTTGGTATTGTTTCGAGGAAAACTGCATCCCGTTATTATAGTAATCGTTGAAATTATGTATTTCACGGTATAACCTTTGCACTTATTTAGAGTAATTTTTCAAACTATACATATAAGGCTAATTTTACAACTTGCACTTGCATTAAGTAATTCAACGTATCATCATAACTTTTAGGATCAAGGGTTGTATTCCGTTTTCATGAAACGATTAGCGACTCTTGCTTTATTTAATTGGATAACTGTGAAATACCTTGACAATATATTGATGTTAGTCATAGAAGTTGTAAATTGCCAGTGTCAGGGTTTTATGATTTAAAGAAAGTGTATGTGAAGCAACTTTGAAGTTCTTATGACGTATTTCATAAAATGTATCTGAGGACTTGAGCAACACAGGGATATTCGAATAACATAAATAACGATGTACCACTGCCACTGTTTTTTCGTTACTTTGAACTAAAACCTTAACATGCATGATTACTTGGTTACCTATTTTGACGAAGTGAACATTGTTCTGATATACTACAGGTATTACAAACAATTCAAGCAAGTTGAAAACATTTCGCAAAAACGCTTTTGAAACCTAAAACTGTATGATAATCAGTGTATCTGATTTTGGGTTGTCAGACATAAAGTAAGGATGAAAAATGATCAGTGAATGAATCATAAATAAATACTCAGATGGTCCAGGCGTTCAGTACCTAATTTTCTTGCCAAAGAGAACGTTAAGACTTTCCATATATAAAAGACATGATAAACTTTGGGTGATCATTTGTCTTGTTTAAAGTTATCCATATATGCACTTACACTCAGCCGATGTTATTGTATTGCTTTCAAACTCTTTAATGCCAAAACTTGATAGAGAACAGCATAAAAGATACCCGTAGAATGAAGTCAACTATATTGTGTGAATAAAGGAGACTTTAACTTGATTATGTAAACCGTTTAACTATGCGCTAACATCAGAATATTCTACAGATTACTATGAACTTATCAACTCAAATCATGCTAGTTGAAATCTTAAATTTTGTGATCAATCTCGACGTATCCGTGTAGTGTCCAATTCTGAAAATTTAGTTGGGAGAACGATAATCTTGCAGCAGGATACCTCGTTTTTTTGCCGGTTTATTTCACATTTAGAAACTGATTACTGTCATTTTCTACCTAATTAGATTCTGACAAGAAAACATGTTCTTCTCATTAACAACATATAATCAGTATTTGACCCTACAAACAAGCAATTTTTGTTCAGAAATATAAATTCGAGCATTCTTTGGTACCCTGTGAATTATAAGAAAATAGCTTATCCGCATCAGCAATCACTGTCAAACCTTTTTCGTTCACTACAAAACCAATTTGTCAACAATAGGTGTATCAAAAAACTCACTCAGTGAGCTTAGTAGTACCGGCCAATATTTCAGCATCAGTCTGTTGATCAGCTATATTTGTCATGGCAAACAAGATAGGGCATAATAGGATAATTTGATTAAATTATTTTGGTGAATAGGTAGTAACCAAAAAATTGAACCACTCTAATTATTTTGAAATGCTATTTGACGATTTCTTCCCATTTAAATTTGAGAATGTCATTACTCAGGATAGTAGAAACCATAAGTCCCGAATACAAGCTGTGGTGGTCATGGTGAAGAATTTTAGTTAGCGTACCTTCATGCCAATCTCTTAGGTAGCCATTCGAAAGTTATTCCTATGACAGACATGGTATTAGAACTCTTAAGTTTTAGAAAACAGTTATTTTTGATTTTATGAGGAAGTAGCAAAAATTTTCTTTTCAACAGCAACCTACTTAATAAATCGGTATTCTATATTATAAACTCTATGCTTTGTAATGTTAAGCAACCGTCCGACTTAACTTCACTGCCGTCGCCTATACCTGACATAGCAGATGTAAGTATGTTTGACAGTTTTCTGTAACTTTCATAGGACATACAGTATTTTAAATAAAAGTTATGCAGCTGAGCTTGAATATGATATCTTCAGTGCGATATCTGCGATATCTGTAGACCTTTCCAAATATCAAACTTTAGTCCAAATGCATTAGAATTCACTTCAAACGATACTTATAAAAGCTGCGATTTAATAGCGCTCAACTTAGTTATTTTTGTGATAAAACTCTGTACACTAAAATATGCAATGTCTTGTGTAAAAGAAATTTGTTTAGTGCTGAATTGAAAATGAGGGAAGGATTTTAGTTTATAGAGTATTCTTTTTCCGGGGTAATCGCGGTATACAGATAATGAAATAAATCACATGCTAGTAATACCCGTGTACACCCGATTTTCCCGACATAACTGCAAGTGGCTATAGATTTTTCTCAGAAATGATCAACTCAGTTTCAACTAGTTTTAGGTATTTTTAATGGAAATTTAACTGTTAATGCCTATGCTTATGTCATTTTGAGGTTATTGTTCCACGATTAATATACTGTCAGGTGAATTAATTGGTCCTTTTAAAGCAATAAAAACATTGAAATAAACCTATTATCATAATATGTTTTCCTGTAGCATTCGTTACAATGAAATTAAAATCCACGGTGATTGAAAGCTGACCTATTTAAGTTGTTATGTAACTGAATCTAAAGGTCTCTGGAATAAGTTGGAACAAAGACTATTAATTCTACTGACAACTCTTTGAGCTACGCACCCTATGCCGCTGAAGTTATGAATACTGAGACGAACAATACAAATAAAACTTCAGTCTGACATGTGTGATTTTCTTTCATTTTCATTGAAGACAGTGATTATTTACTCAACCTGCTGGCTATGAATTCAATTAATTATTTAGTCACTTTTTTTCCTTTTCAACTACTATCAGACGCGGGCAAACAAAATCGAAATCGAGTTCTACTTGTGTTAATTTGTGCGCCACAATGTATTGCTTTTTCATTTGCTCCGTTTTCTAAGTCTAGGTCATTTTTAGGGCTGCGTTAAAAGTCAAATCTTATGAATCGCCACCTCTTCGTTCAATGAATTTCTTTCTCTAAACACACATACTTCATACCAGTGAAGCGTTTTACACAAATCGCAAAGCATATATTATCGTGTTTAGCGAATATTTTTCAACAGTATTTATTTCCAGTGAAGTGAACAGGATGCGAACCTCAATCTTATTTCTAAGACCGATGTATCAATACAGAGTAGACTGGTAGACTAGTGCTTGGAAAAATCAGAGACCACAGTAAATTCATCCATTTAGTCATAAGTGCGACTGTACCATTTTCACTTTTGCTTATTTCACAATAGTCGAGTGAAATCTGAGAATCTGTCGAGCTAAAAAGTTGTCACTAAACTCTTTGACAATCAATACAATAACTCGTAGCTAGTTAATTACGCATTCAAAATATTCTCATTACTTCAGACTGGTTTCTGATCAGGACAGCTAACGCTTATGAGTCCTCTGAATATGGCTTTAATACAAAGTTAAGAAAAGCAGAACCTAGGCTATTACATTGCTGAAAAACTTTGAAGTAATATTCTGAACCAGTTGACTGATTTTGTAGCTCGTCTAACAAACTCCTGAGTATGAGGTTTTCGTAAATTATGTTTTGGTTAACTTTCCACTCATAACAGGGTAGTTGTGTCTCAATTTATCCTTAAGAAATTAATGGCGTCCATGAGTGCCATGATCCCGGCTTACCCAGTGGATTATTGAAAGTTGCCTGAAATATGTAGGTTAGCTGTCTATGGTATGTGATGAGTGGTAATATATATGCCTGTGGTGGTTCGTAATCAAAGGGAACTTTGGATTTTAACAAAACTGTGAAATTAAGAAGTGAAGTTAGTAAGATGCCTTTCATAGAATTCAATGAACACATATATTACCTACGTTATGATAAACAAGACTGTGAATTTAGCTTCAATACATTGTTTCCTTCTGGATATCTGAATTACCTAAACATGCTTTAGAAAGAATCTGAGAATATTTCACAATTCATTTTACTAGAGCTGCTTCAAAAGTTGGTAATTGTTATCACTTTACTTGTTCTTTAACAAATGTCATTTTGTTGGAGATAGCTTACAAATTGCAAGTCAACGAGTAAAAGCTCTAGTTCTGTATAGATACTCACTACTAAAATTACGTCATCGTAAATAAAGCGAGTGACCAAGTGCGAGCTAAAACAAATTCCGAGTGAATAATTAAGTTACAACTTACTTATTTGGGATGGTATATACAATATTAAAATTCCATTCTATGTACAATTACCATTCAGGCAAAACTTAATCTTCTCTCAAAAAAGCGCTTACCTTTTAAAGAAGGTATCAAAAGTAAGATTTTTTTTCTCATGCATTGTTTGACACATAAGACAGAAGTCTATGAAACAAATTGCATTACTCTGATTTCAGTGTGAATTTGAACAGTTAAGTTGATGAACAAATGTATGCTAAAGCTTATATCGAATTCGGTAGTTTATTTTGAGTATGATCTGAGAAATGAAGTCAAATATAGAGTCTAAATAAGTCTTTGATTTATACAATAAAAGAACTGTGATGAAATTATGCTCCACCGCGGGGCCTGATTTCTCCTATTATATATATATATATATATATATATATATATATATATATATATATATATATATAACAAGTGCTTTAGCTGTATATAATGCTTCAAAATGGTATGAGTGAAATAATAAACCGGTTGTAAGCTTCAACTAAATGCATAAAATTATCAAGTGCTGTTTAATATAGCGTAAACAGAGGCCAGTCTTAATCTCCTGACCCAACTCAGTGGACAATCATGTAATGAAATTTACTGATGAATTTCAGGAGAAAGGTAGCTTGCACTCAAAGACTAGTGCTTGATATCGACACTGCTGAAATAAGAATATTTTTCAGCTAACGTTTCACAAAAATATTACATCAGTCATCTAAGGAGTAATTTCCAAAATATTCTGATGTTAATGTGAAACTTTTATAATTGGGTCGCATTCACTACTTAATAATCTATATTAATTTGGTACTTAATTCCATGGCAGAGGCCGGTAGGTAATCATGTTTAAAGTTTCATCCTTCAAAAAAATACTAACATAACTTTACTTTTTTCATGAAGAACTCTACGAGGTGTTTATGAGCACACAGGAGGTCGTAATTTAGCTCTAATGGCTGCTCTTGAAAACACTCTCGAAGAAGCGTTAAAAGTAGAAAAAGATAGGAGATTAGGAATGTTGGATGACATCAATACAACAAAGAAGCCAGATTATTTTCGCCTGGATATGAAAGAGGTAAGTGCAGAGCTTTTTTAGTTCATAAAAATGTTGTATGTTTATTGTGTGTGATGGGAATTTTTAAGGTAATGTTAAGGATCTAAAAACTTGTTAATTATGACGGAGAGTTTGTCGAAGACATCTGTTGAATAAGAGATGCAATTTCCACTGGTTCAGCTGGAATTTCCAAAAAGCTATTAACAGATAACCATAGGTCAGTTGTGCAACAAACTACATTCAAGAAACAAACCAGCTGGCCAAAAGAGGATAAAACCTAAGGATTAGCCAAGTACATGCCAAACAGAATGTAACTTGATGAATAATGACAAGAAAATGTAGCATTTCATTTGTTATTAAAAGGTGCAGAAGTAGGTTACAGTAGAGTAACGAAGTTATTTTTGCATTCAATAGTAAATGAAATAACATTTTCTCCTACAGCCATCAAATACAAAAGCTTTTCTACTATCAGTATAGCTCAATTATAACAGATCAAAAGCAAGGCAAAATATTTTGGTTAAAACTTGAATATTATGCTTGCAAAGTGTTAGCGCAGAAAAATCGGACAGAGCAACGGATATCGTTTAGAGAGAAAATTCAACTGATAATGATTAGGATACTCAACCATCCAGGTGGTATCCATTTCCAAATAACGTTTTTGTTCTACATCTCATCTCTCATTAGTCTTATCCTATATTTTGCAACCAACATTGTGTATTATTTTTGCCCAACTCCTCACCAGTCTATCACCAATCGAAAACAGTTAAAAAACATAAACCGAAGGACTTAATAAATAAAAACAATACGCTGTTACATGTTACTGGATGGAAAAATAAAATTCTTCTATGTTTGATATGTCTGTACAGAAATATCATATTAGTTGTTTTTAGTTCTCATTCCACCCTCGTGACAAATGTCATACCTGGCTTCTGTGATTACACTCGTGTTTAACATTGCAGCATATTTTTTTCGTTCGGACGAATATTCTGTAATTTTTGGTTGGACTGGAACAGCTCAATGGTAACGTCGTTGACTAAAACATTGAGTGATGCGGGTTCGAATCTCAAGGAGGACATCAATCCCGTCGGAGTTGCAGATATGTCTTGCTGGCGAGTTCCAACAAGCACGAAACCTGGGTTCAGGGCTTCCTGTCAATTGTTTCCATCCAAATAACATCTATCAAAAAGTGCATCGCGATGCTGGGCTGCCTAGTCTGGTGGGCACACTGCAAAATTATCGGTAGAAATCGGTCAGTACTTAAGACTAGGCAATATGAAGTTGGTTACCCTCCAGTGACCAATCAATGTATGAATATTCTATGTTAAATAAGTGACCATCAGAAGAAGGAAACAGTCTTTTATCACCTGAAGAAGGTGGTTTTGGATGACTTCTATCAGCTGGAGAACCAATGAGTACTGAAGAATACACATGATCTTGTTGCATCTTAGAAATTATTTAGGAAAACATGCTCTAGACCTCTTCCGATATCCAGTCGAAAGCTTACATGTTTTCAGTTAAGTAGTTAAGTGAGTGATGACAAGATCAAAAAAGGATAAAAGGTGCTAAGTCTGGTATACAGTAGTGACTGTGTACACTCCCATGAAATTTGGATGTAAGGAAAAAGACTTTGAACTTCATTAGTTGTCATTCAGCTGCAAAAGCGATCTGCCAACTAGTCAGTTTTTCAGAATATATCCTTTCTTGAGTATTTTAGGTTTACAAACTATCTTATTCTTAGAATACTTCGTTTATAATAATTCCACATAAGGATACATTTTCTTTACCTTTCACTCTACCCTTTGTTCAAACCCCATTCGATTGTACCAACGATGAGGGGGTTATGCGCCTCCTTAGTTTACTAATCCATGATGTATTCTTTCGGTTATGAACTTCAAACATAAACAGCTGAAATAGAGTAGAAAGTTAGTTTACAAGACTGTAGAATATTTCGTAAAGGCAATGTAATCTTATTAACGATTTAGTTTAGCGTCAGTGTTTTAAAATCTTCCCAGCGACACCATTAAATCAGTCTACTTCATATTCTACACGATGCTTGTACTTACTTTTGTGTACTAGAACAATCAGCTCAGTGGTATATAGCGATGAAGATTAGTGACAAAGTTTATCTTAACTTTGGAAGAAGACGTCAGACGATAGGGGATAGTGAGCTGTTCTAAATTCAACATTTTGTTGGTAATAATTTAAATTTCTATTAGAGTCATCAGCAATATATGTTAGTTTAAACACAAGACAATACCCTATAACTCCTGGGGAGTGTAAGTCAGAAACAATGAGTTTTATTTCTATGACATTCCTATGGTGAACCAGTATAGGTCATGGTTGTCAAATAAATGTGGTTTAAATCAGTCTTAAGTTAGCAGTTTACACAGAAAGTTGAACTGTCTTATGCATATTTAGGTTTCACTTTCGAAACCTGATCTCTCGAAAAACGTCCAGAGCCCACCAACCTTGGGATGAACAAACCCTGATTTTAAGTTTTTAAACTTTACACCTTGCATTAATATCTTTTCGTTCATGGTAAACCAAGTTACCTTTGAGTATTTATTTGAAAGCTATTTCCTGAAAGCTGTCCAAAATCTGATGGGTGATATCTCCAACTGTATCCTCTTTACCAAGTAGTGTATATTCCCTTAGTCGGTGTTTTTGAGATTATTTTAAAATGAACTGACTTAGAACGACCTCTTATTTAGTTGAATAAGATTAGTTGATCAATAAACTGAATAAATTAGATGCAGTCACCAAGAAATTTGCACCAGGTTGAACATGACAGGTGAATCCACGTGGAAGTGGACAATCAGAAAAAGAATGAAGGAATATTGAAGTGATCTGACTCAAAGTAGGCTCAATCATTCCAGAATAAGAATAATACCTGGCACCCAAAAATCGTATTACAACTTACTTTAAGTTGCACCAACTGAAGAGAGCTCTGGGTTGCATGCAGTATAAATAGCAGACAAATGACTAAACGTCGACTGATAAAATACAAACGCAATCTAGAAGATTCCCAATCACTAGTCAAAAAAAATATTGCGAGCGATTACAAAAGGTATGCATCACTTGCTCATATTTGTCAGCAAAAACATTTGGATTCAAGAATATAGAGCTGTGGGTGGTAGGAAGCTGTGGATTTGAGTTACATGCATGTTGTAGCCAATCGGCATAACATCTCGGTTCAATGGAAAAAGAATGGCTCCAGGAGGATTGAGTAGGTAAAACTTATTACGTAAATCAGGTCAACAGGCTCCTTCCAATCTCTCCAAAGCTAATATTAGACTTTCTCAGACAGACTTTAGCGTAAGCTACGTCGAAACACGTACCAGTGATATGCATAGTATAAATTTTAAAAATACTTGCATTGAAACAAATTACTAACGAAATAGACACAACATAGAGAAGCACTCAAAACTGCCCGAAAAATCTAAACAAATGATCTGATTATCTTGGAATAAAGTGAGTTATTTACTTCAGATTTTGTTTGTGAGGCACAATCCAATCAACTGAAGGATATTTTCACTTGACGAATAAGTGCAGTTGTTCAGCTTCATTTGAAATATCTCCCAACTTTATAAGTAAGGAATGTGTGAGTACCCGAAAGTTACTCCACTTATTCCGATATCGCAAAGTTTACATACGCAGCCCATTCATTAATTAAAATTACATCAGTATTCATAAAAATAAAATATGGAGTATTTGAATTCACAACTGTAATTCTAGGCATTAATAGTAATGAAGGCAATGCCGATTAGGAAAGTAGAGAGCAGAAAAGAGAAAGTGAAATTTACATGCTTGCCAGCTTGTTCATTCTTACAAAATTAATAATTTCCTTCAAATTAATACTTGCTTCTGATTTTGTGTTGCTTATAAATACTACGACTTTCAGTTACAATGGAAAAAACTATGATTTAGAAAATAAAAATAAATGAAGTTCCAGTCACTAGCTCTGCTGCTAAGCGACTGTAAAAATATTTCTCATAGTAAAATTGATACAGCTAAACAAATGTACTTTACTGCTGCTGGTAGTAGTAGTAACATTAGGGAGAGTATAATATTTTCTTTATCTATGTGTGTATGTTTGTCAACTAGAGACATAAAAAATTTCATCACATTTTATTAGCCAATATTTTTAATAACCAGATCGGTCATTTCTTTCCTTTTTTTACGCTACGTTATGGTTAAACAAAGTCAAATAATTAATAGTTTTAAAATGAATTGAAGCACTGAATAATGATAGAAAAATAATTGAATGGACTAAAAACTTCATAGCATTATGTTTTCCACTCAATTTTAGTTATCTGTTTAAGTGGATAACTGATAAAAAAAGAATAATAATAAAAGGTTGTTAAATGTGTTTGTTTTCTAAATTCTTTCAAGCCTTCAGAAGCTGCTAGGAAGTGGAATTTTTTTAATTTAGTAAGAATAATGCATGTAATTTGTTTGGAGAGCATCACATGTCATGAACTTTCCACTGAACTAACAATATTTTGCATAAGGATAAGATTACGTTTCTATTGACAAAAATACATTCAGTTCAACATTAGGTGTTATTAGTTAGAATATTCTCATTGAAACGAAGTTCATTGCTTTGTCGAGATTATTCGTATGACAGTCTTTAGGTCATGCCTGAAAGTTCAGTTCCATCTACATATGAAATATCTTGTACCAGACTGGTTTGAATTTTTGAAAACACAACTTCCAATCAAACACGTTGAATGAATGGACAGTTCCGCAGTCAGTCTTCGTATGATAATTGAACTTAATCACTAAAAAATGTCAGAATTTTTACGTATATCACTTCATTCATGAGATAGAGGTGAAACAAAATAAGATTACTCTATGAACAACTCACAAGATTTGCATCATCAGGTAAATTACTATATTTTTCCAACATAAAGGTGAAATATCACTGAAACTAAGCTTGAAAATAAATGTGTCTTCACTTAATCCACTTTTCATTTAAAATGTCTAAATAGGAGTTTTTAAGGGGCTAAGAATATACTACTAAATACAACTTCTGAAACACAAAAAGCCTAATATAAATTCTTACTTTTGTACTGTTATCTTTTTTAAAAAATCATTAAAGAAAAGAAAACACTTTTCTTTCATATTGTCTACACATTTCGTTACATTACCTTTCTTTGTAGATTACCGATGGCAAGCAGCGGTGAGAGCGTATGAAATTGAACAAGCGAACAGAGAATTTCGATTGATACAGTCAGAATTGGAACGACTTAAAGCGTTACAAGCAGAAAGACGGAAATAATAGAAAAGTTTACTGCTGATAATACTACTACTACCACACAGAAAACAAATAACCGCAAACTCCTTCAGGATTTGATTTTACAACTTTTATTCATGTTTTAGAAAAGAAATATTACCATTAGGAGCATCTTATAAGTCACAATTAGTTATATATATAATATCGCATTTCTATAACTGAGTTTGTGTAAATAGTGTTTTCAAGAGCTGACTTCAATTTTCATGAGTAAACCAAAAAAACTAAGTGCTGCCTTGTCATGCAACTTAAGCCATCGCTATAGTATACACAATTGTAAAATCATAACTTCATAAGTGATTGTAAAAGCCTTTCGGATACATTAGCAGTACAGAGAGTCCAAGCGCTGAAAAGGAAAAACACTTTTCACTTATCCACTGTCAGTCGTATGTTTATGAGTTATCTATTTATACAAGTGTTTTTTTAACTAGAAATAATTTTCCTGAAATATTATTCCAAATTATTTTTAAATATTATCGTTTCTGCTGAAAAGCAAAAAGATTCGCTAAAACGTACTTCTGAATAAAACATCCTGAGTATTTTATGACATTTTTTAGTCGTTTCAAATCCATTCAGTGTTCCAAAATCTACTTATAACTATACAATATGTAAAAGATTAAACTATTTTATGATCACTTAATGTATTCTGTCATACTGTACAGTAATGTGAAATGCATCTCATATTTTACAGTTTCCTGTTACGAAATAAATAAATGGAATGATTCTGTCATTTCATTCTATCTTGTGAGGGATTTGTGTACACGTTTAATTATGTTTTGCTTTATGGAAAGCTACAGCTTCTAATATCCCACATCCTGTCAAGTCAGTTTAATGCATCAAATCTGATTCTTTTGTCATTTCTGAGTTTTAAGTTAAGTGGGGTCACTGTGTCACAATATAACTATCATTAGAGTTTACATTTGTAGCAGCTAACTAACTAAAACTTATGGGTCTCTTGAATGGTATGTTGACGTACTAAACAGACATACAATAATCTCTTTAAAAATATTATGAATATGCATAAACGATACAAAAAGAATAAATTGGCATCATAAAACGTAAAATTGTTGAATACCAACAAAGAGGAACTGACTTCTTCGTCATTCTAGTATAAACACTCAAATTAATTAGCTCGAAATGGAACAAATAGCTCCAGGATGAAAAACGTAACATAAGGGGATCAAACTTATCAAAAAGTTATGTCAGTAACTGGTATGAACACCTCAGTTCGATATTGACCACGATGACCTTGACCTCTACAAAGGTATCAGGGAATGATTTTCAAGCTGTAATATACGAAGCAGTCTAGTCAGTATCCAATATATGAGGAGGAATTGCGAATTAAATTTTGGTACAGATACAGCGTACCTAGATGTTTCTGTCATGTTTCGTACCAACCTCTTCTCAGGTTTTTCTGATGATAATACTCGGTTGCTACTTGTATGACACAAATCAGTTCAAAATATGTCCATTGCTGCACATACCTTTTGATCTGTTTGACGTCAAAGTCAAATACTGTTTTATAGTTCACAATATTTTAGTTTTAAAACGTTTAAGTAGAATATCCATCAGAGAAGCCATACTTTTCTTAGTTTCATCTATCCCAAATAACTGAAAAGTTGGTGGAATCAAACTACTACACTGAAATAAGAAGCTGTAATTCTTAAAAGGTGGTAGCTTCGTATGTTTGAGTTCCGTGACCATATGGATCGAAATGCCACTGTTAACGCAACGCAAAAAATGCAAATAACTAAAATTGTGAATCACAAATGATAGCACTGCAAAACGTTCAGATGTGAGTTTTCAGCGTTCAAGAACATTGACAAAAGTAATTGGTCGACATTCATCCAAAGTGTTCTTTTATCTGATCCTAAATTTTTTGATTGAGGTAACATATTTGCGTTTGACAGCTAGTGAGATGAAGATGGAAATATTTTTCGGCAAGATTCTTAGTCAGTGTAGAGAATGACAATGTTAATATTCACTGAGGCAATCGTGGTTTCTAACTGCTGATATCATCAGTCAGTACTGTGTGTTATACAGATCTCCGTGCTTTTTCGATGTCATTTTCTTTGAAAGTAGATCATAGTTGTGGTCTGAAAACTTTGGTTTACAATGAAAAGTATGAGCAGAACTGAACATCCTTCTCGTCACGAAATTAGAGTACTTCAAGCATTCACTTTGATTCTTATGTTATGAGTTCGCCGATGTAGCTGATGAATTTAAAAGCTGTTTTTTTTTAGCAATTTCACTTTCTCAGATAAACTAATAAGGATGCACAGCAGATAATTTTGGTCTCTAGCAAGCTAAATTACTTCACTCTACCTAGCAAATCACGGTGTTGATTGGTCAAAGAGATTTCTAGTTAATTATACCAATGACTGGCGCATAATAAGCTAGAAATTGAGCAGTAATATACATTCCACTTACTAAACAAGTAGACAGAAAATTTGAAGACTAAAAATTAAACGGAAGACGTGTGACTGATCTTACTTAGTGGCTTAAGATGAGAGAAAGTTAGACTTGTAAAGTGTTGATAAAGGGTTTAAACTGAAAAGTAATCAACAATTTTTGTTATCCCCAATTACAAACTATGAGTGCATCTTCGATTTACCAGTAATTCTATCAATGAATAAACTAAACAAGTAAAATAAGTTTACGCAGATTTGTTAAACATATGGAACGTTCAATTGTGCTATCAGTAACTATATCATCGAAGTAGTTTTTTTAATGGGATTATATTAATTGGACTATATTTGCTTTTAGGGATTATCCACGCTTCACTTGAATTGATCATTGAGTTTTCTATATACACAAAGAGAATATGTATCCCGTGACTGCAGTTATTGAATTTTGTTAAGTTTATCAGCAAAAATACATCTCCATGTCATAAAAAGAGGTCAGATTATTTGATTTCTTAACTGTGAACTGTCCAACAGAAAAATAAACTTGGTGATTGAAGTGAAATAAAAATGTGATTAGCAGCCGGGCCTCATAGCTCAGTTGATAGAGCATTGAACCGGGAACACTGTGGTCTCTGGTTCGAACCCGGCCGTGGTCCATATTCTTATTCTACTTTCAATCATCACCCAGTATAAAGAAATAAACTGTTTATTGATATTACTAAGACAACATAGTAACTGCAGAAGTCAAGACTCAATGCTAAACTACTCGAGATGTGAATCTACAGCTGAAAAGGTTTTTTTCTTAGGCAGATCCCTATTAACACAAGAAAACTTTGCTGGAAATTAAATATCATCTTTCTAATAAGTGCTGAAACCAGTAGATTGTATCAAAAACTTTAATGAGCCGAAAATACTGAATAGCACATGGTAAAACATATATGAGACTAGATTGAGGAATCCAATACTTTAACTCACTACATAGTGCTTATTTCCAAATCGAACTGCATGAATATCAAACGACCGAATTACTTCCTTGATAATCCAGATTCAAAAACTAAGAGCACTAATGAATTAAAAGTCACTTATGTAATGAGGTAATATCTAGGTAAAATAATCACTGTCTGATGTTCAGATAACAAATAATCAATTTAAAGTAGTATGAAGGTAAGTAGATAGCTAAGAGATTATTACCAGTAGGCTCAAGGCTGAAGTTCTACTCACATCAAAACAGTGAATGTGAAAAATCATCTAATGTAACTTTTTTACAACACAAATTTTATCTTCATAAGTAAATCCGATCAGGAAGATTCAGTCACATTTTAGAAACTGCTTCTATAATTGGCACGAAACTCTCTTTACTTTTTCTAACTGCTACTGCATTTAATAAGTTTAAGTTACATATTGTGACATTCATGTTTGTACATATTTCCGTCTACCTATCAGTGAAGTATATATAAAGTTTTCGAGAGTCGAACCTATCAAACATTGATGAGTCATATTTTAAATAAATCTTACCAGTTTAAATAAAATGACTCAATCTAAGTTATAAAAATTTGTAAGATACACTATTCTGATAATTTATTGAGCGTTTTTACAATACTTATCTCCCTAGTCTTAAAGTTTTCCTGCAAAATCTTTAATTCATACTCAATTCAAAGATCCTGCTATTGGTCGAATGTGAAACTTCAACCGTTAAACTGCCTATTTTTAACCCTAATCAGATTTAACATGTCCGTCTAATACTATTCTCAAACAGAAACCTTGAAATGTTTTCTGAATAGGCATTCACATCAAAGTATGTTGAAGAATTCCAACACATTATTCTAAACTAGATGAAATTCACTTATACAATAGGTTTTGCCAGCATGATTAAATGGTTTAGTCAGTAAAACCTTAACTTTGAATCGAAAAAAAATGATGAGTACATATTTCAATGAAAAGAAGTCATTTAAAACCATATGTGTTCTCTCAGTAAAGCAGTGGCTTTAAAAACCACTCTAGCGAATGTTAAGATAGCCAATCAGGTTTTGATATTTTGGCTAGGAAGATGATTTTTCAAAAAACAAAGAAAAGTAACTGATTATCTTAGCGCTTGTTAGGGTGGCCTTCAAAATCACTTCAGTAATGATATATTAAGCCATAAACCATTGAAATATTTTTATTCCCAACTCAAACTGCAGTGAAATATGATATTCCTCCCCAGTATGCAGGCAGTTACAGTAAGGTTACGATCAAAGCAAAATGCACTACTCTCTGACAGATAGATAGACAGAAAAACGTAGAACCTGGTACAAAAGTGCATCATTTCAGGTCGCCACACTCTAAAGCACCATGCTAGGAAAAGATAACTAGAAAGCAAATGGTACAAGGGTGTATGTGTAGACTAATTATTTACCGTCTCGAATAAACAAACATTTTTAGGGCTTAGCAAAACTTGAACATGCTTCATAAGCATGTAGTAAATTAACCCAGTTTGCGAAATATTTGG